TTTTTTTTTTTTTCAGGCTTCTTCTTTCCAATTCCTTAAATTGGAAGATTAACTGCGATGATCATTCTTCACTTTCAGTGTGGATGAAGTTGATAATCCAAGAGGTGATCAGGCGTTAAAATAACTTTTATTACTTTACACTGAAGTCTGTGTTCTGTGACCTGCATATTTCGTTATATTTCGTTACATATCGAAAGTGGTCACAAAGCAACAAAAAGTTTCCGTTTGGATCAAATCTCAAATAAGATTCATATATGGGCTAATTGCTATATAACTCTTTTTTTTACCTCATACCATGTATGTTTTAATCACCGAATAGTCCGATTAACGGGGGCCCGATTGCCATGGTAACAAGGACTCAGATATATGGTACCTGTTTGGCCTCCATGCTGAGTCTATTGACATTCAGTCTGGCTCCTGTAATTACTTAGGTTTAGCTTCGACTCATATGACATTTTCAACTTACATTCTTTGTGAAGAACCCACTCCAGCAGTGCCGTAGGTTTATCCATAATCTCAGTCAAATATAAACTTATAGTGGCGCTTGGACAGCGCGCGATTCTGACCGCGTAACCTCAAGAGAAAAAATGGCTGCATTAAATCAAGAAAGGTTTACTCTGGCCACTGATGATACAATAGAAGAACTGCGAAATGGTGCAACAAATATCAACACCAGCAAAAGTCCGTCGTTTTGGTTAAGTGTGTGGAAGACGTAGTGCGAAGGAGTGAGCATAGCTTTGGATATCGAGGAACACGGACTGGCTGAACTGAACAGATTACTCGAGAAATTCTACGCCGAAGTGAAGAACAAAAACGGCCAAGATTATGAGCCGGACAGCCTTGGAGTCATGATTGCTGCCCTCGACAGACATTTGAAAGAAAAACAGTATCCATTGTCGATCGCAAAAGACCGGAAATTCCACTCGTCGAAACAGGTCTTGAAGGGAAAAGCAAAATTACTACGACAGACCGGTCGAGGTAAGCGCCCAAACAAAGCAAGAAATTTGACGAAAGAAGAAGAAGAAGTGCTATGGAAGGAGAGGAAGTTCGGAAGTACAACCCAAAAGGCATTAGTGAAAACAATGTGGTGGATACTTACCCAACATTTTGGCCTCCGCGGCGGGCAAGAACATCACGAAATGAAAGTGGATGACTTCCAGCTTTGCAAAGACGACAATGGCGTGGAGTTCGTGCAGTTCACTGAAGGGCATACCAAAACCCGACAAGGAGGCTTGCACACAAAGCTCCGCGATTTTCAGCCACGAATGTTTGCCATTGGTGGAGAAAGATGCCCAGTAGCTCTTTTTTAGCAGTTTGCGAGTCGCCGACCTCAAACCTGAAGACGACTGATCCATTTTACCTTTCCATCAAGACAAACAGAAAGCTGGATGACAACGTGTGGTTTAAAGTACAACCAGTGGGAGAAAACAAAATAAATAATATGATGAAGAGCATTGTGGCAGATACTATTCTTGAAAGCAGCGACAAAAAGTTCACCAACCACAGCGTTCGCAAAACAGTTGTGAGGAAATTGAAGAAAGCGAACATCAAGCGGTCGGGAATTGTAAACGTAACCGGACACAAGAACATTCAGTCATTAGACGACTAGACGAGGCAAATGAAGACGAACAGCGACAGCTTTCGTATGCCATTTTAGGGAGAAATAACTTCAATCTACAACCGACCGTATACAGAGAATTTCCTGGCGGCCAACAAGAGCCACTTGCCTCTTCAGCTCAATTTCTTCAACCGCCGAGAGCGCGAATGCCATTGCAAGCGATTTCGATGCCCAATTCATCAGTGTTTGGATTACACCAAAGTTCCACATCGCTCAATCCGACAATGATGAGAGCTCAAGAGCAAAATCTGTTGAACACTTTCAACTACTACCATGTTTCATTCAACTTCAAGAGCTACAAGTCTTCAAGACAAGCCATTCCAAGTGTAAAGCGCATTAAGCGTCGTCGCGTCCATATAATCGAGAGCGATTCAGGTTCCGATTAAACGATGAGTTTTGAAATACTTTTTGCCTTATTTTGGCTTGAGATTCCTTACAAGTTCGTTGTAAATCTTATTGAAAGCGTTCGTCGGCGATTCCATGTGTAAATATTTAAACGAACCGCTTTGAGTTCGTAGCATTATCAGCTGATCTTCATCAGCCAATCAGTAAATAAACTGTCAAATCCGCGTCAAATGCTCGCTTCCTGTCTGCAATAAGATCTCTTTACTTGTGAGTTTTTCAAAAAGCTGAAATTGCACTCGACGAAGCGGCTTGTGCAATTTCAGCTTTTTGAAAAACTCACTCGTGCAAATTAATTCCAAATTGAACTCAAAACCGTATGATTACCTATACTTAATTACATAACTGAGTCCTCGTTACTACAGTGTCTTTTAACGACAATTTGGTTTCCTTTTAGACTTACTTGTGTGTATAAATTTTGAAGTAATTTGGTTAATGCGATTTGTAATATTTGGCCAAGTGACCAACGCACGAGAATTGGTTTCATTTATTTGAGAACAATGCTACACTTTCTTTAGCTATACAATTACCTTCTGTCGAAATGCAAGTTTATCATCGTGTCCTTGACTTGTTCAGTATATTCACCGTTTGCCCGATGAACGGTTCCCCTGCCAAGTTGTGTCAGGATTTGGTTAACCAATAACGCTTAGCGAATGGAGCGCGCGCAACTTGAAGCGTAGTAATCTCGTTGCCGAAGTAACGATGCCCAACATACGATAAATACGAAAACTTTACCGTGAAAAAGTTTGGGCTTTCCTCTAAGGGCTTTTGTTTTCTCCGTGTGGGTTAAGCACTTTGCAACCTGATTATGAGGAACTTTAATTCCAGTTAATTCAGGTAATCGAACTACGACCGCGTCACAAGCAAGCGTTAACGTTGACTTTTCCGAATTGTTAATCTTTATAAGCCGTTGCACGCTCCACGAGCTGTTAATAAGAGAACCTTTCCCTGCATGGAACTTGATCATAGTTTAAGATCCTTTCAGAACTGATTTTTTTTTTTAAAGAAAGAGCTAGCCAAGAGCCGTTTAGCTAAGTCTACGAAACATTAATTAAGGGTCCTTTGTTCTCAGTAGTTAATTAGTTTTGTAGGGAAACATTCTAATATTTCCAGAAAATCGGACCCGTAATCGCTGTGGTTGGCGCCAATCTCTAGTTGCAACCGAAAGGCTTCCATATATCTCTTTAAGAGCCACTTATGGAGTTGTTCTAGAGTTACGTTTCAGCAACCAGTCTCCGAGTCGTTAATCCATCTAAGGGTATCGCCACCATTCGACTAGACACGCAAATCCCAGGCCAAACGAATCAGACAGCGCGTTACGTACAACATGAGGTTCGATTCTAATAGCGTAGCTTATCGGTAAGCGATATATTCTGAAACAAGACCAACTCAGACACAGGCAGAATACGAATTCAAGCGCAATCTTTGGTGTTTGACATCCTCGAACTTCATCCTTTAAACTAGAAGAGTTCAGTACTACAGTCCCTAAATTTGTTCGGCAACATTTTCCTTCGCTTGACGGATGGTTCGCCTGTAAGTACAAATAATCTCTCGCGCGATTTTAAACTTGCCAATGTTGCGATACCACTTATGGCATCTAACATTGTTCAATTTTAACATCATTAATTTCGTTTTAACATGTAGATGTAGAAGTAGATGAATGCGAGTTTTCTTATATTTACCATTAACTCCTTCGTTTCTACCGATTCCAACTTTTAAAGCTACATCTTTTTTTCCCTTTAGATGTGATTTAGATGAAAGAAATCACCGCTTATTTTCTGGAATCAGAAATGCCAACATTTTCACAGTCGAGACCAGCTAGACAAGGTCTGCTGTTCAACTTAAAAGAGAAAGTTCTGAGATGCTTCGGTTTTACAACTGCACATGGATATGGACGAGTGGCAGACTCCGAATCACGACCCCAAACATGGTTCTGGTGTTTAGTCTGCGCTGCGGCATTTGGAATATTTTCACAACAACTTTATGTAATCACGCAGCAATACTTGTCCAAGCCTCTGAAAACTAGGACCAGTATTGGCCATAATGAGGTACAGTGAGGAAAAATTGAGAAATATGTAAATACGTTTTGTTGCTAGGAGTGTCCCCGATCGGAAAGTTGCCCATGACTTTCCGACCACGACACCAATCGAAAGGGCAGGAGGAGGGGGGGATGGAAAGAGACAATTACACAATGACAGTGGGAGGGAAGGAAGAAATGAAGGGAGGGAGTGGAGAAGGAAGGAAGGAAGGAAGAAAGAAAGGAAGGAAGCGAGGAACTGACGGAGGGAGAGAGGGAAGGGGCGGACGGACTGACGAAGGAATGAATAAAAAACGAACAGAAAACAAAGGCTTACACATCAATGAACAGTAATGGAGATTTCCTTAATTTTTTGATTGTTTATTTGAGATATGTTCTATGTATTTGCAGAAAATTGCTTTTCCCCAAATCACCATTTGTAATCTAAACATTATTCGCCGATCGAAGATTCCAAGCAGCATCTTAACTCAGTTTCCTGGAATACTAGGCGGACGTAAGTATACATAGTATTAGTTGTGTTTTATTTTTTTGTAAATTGGATTTTTTTTTTCTGTCTACGGAACACGAATGCGCACTCGTTGCTTTCGGAAAAGAAACTATTCTTGATTGCTTAAAATTTAAAAAAATAACGCTATTTGCGTTTTGGACAGAATTTAACTGTACCCCTTTACAGAGTTCATCCGGCTTGTAAGACAATAAGTGTTTGCCGCCTCTGTTTTTATGTAACATGTGCCACTTTTTTTCTAAATTTATTTAAAGGAGCTCAGTCAGGGTATTTTGAGTTATTTTGACTAGGTAAAAAATTGGTTTTAAATTCTAAATAATACCTGAAAATAGTAGTTTTTTTTAAGATGGGAAAAAACAAAGACATAATAACAAAATCATAAAGGAATCGAGCAAGGATGGTTCAGGATGGAGAAGATTAACACGGATTACAAACGAAGAACTTGAAAAATTTAGTGTAAACTTCTCAAGAGGCGCAAATCGTGGCGTCGTTCCTTAAAGGTAACGGTAAATTGTTCAGACCAAATGCGGGGCCAGATTTTGTAAATAAAGGTCGTGACATTTATTGTATGCCAATATGCGATTTTCATGTTATTCAACAATAATAGGATCTAATAGAACAGCGTCATCAAAACCACGAAGAACTCAAAGTGGGAATCAAGCTGTGCCAAGTTTTGAGGACCTTCCAGAGAAAGAGCAATTGATTCAAAATGTTCTTGAAATGCTTGCTGAAATCCCAGTAGAAAACCTCGAGAGTTATGGGCATCAAATAGACGACATGATATTAAGCTGTCTCTACAACGACTTAGAGTGTCTGTAAGTAAAATTCACAGGATTTCTCGCAAATAAAAGGGTAAATTTTTGTTGTTTCGAAACGGCGTTTTATGGCTGGAACTAGCCATCTGTAAACTAATTTACATAGCCTTCTTCCTCGGGATAGACCATCAATTATTTACAGTGAAACCCCGCCTTACGACCACACCATTAATACGACCACCTCGTTATTACGGCCACTTTATAAGGGCCGGAAAAAAGCTCAGTCAGTCAGCCATAAATCAAAAGGGAAAAAACGAGGATCCGTACGGACCGAGAGAATGAGGTAAGTAAGATATTTATGATATCTCTGTTGTGTTTCTGATGGGTTCGGGAACGATTTCTATTCACGCGGAACGTCTTCAAATTTTTGACACGCGTCGAAAACAAAACAAGTCAATTTGAAATCGTTGTTAAGTCCTTAGCACGTTTTAATACACAAAATAAAGTCAAAGAAAGTTCTAAACTTTTATTTGCTATAAAAGGTAAAAACACTTGGCGATAAATCACAAAACATTTGGCAACAAAAACAGCTTTAAATTTTAGCGCCGCACTTGGCTCTTATTAACCGAGCTTGAGGTCTGTATGGGAGAATCTTGACCAAGGTCGTGAGTACAGACCGAACGCAGTGAGGTCTTTTCACACGACCGAGGTCAAGATTCTCACATACAGACCGACTAAGCTTGTTTAATGAGATGTTCATTTTATGGCAAACAAGAAAAATGTAATTCGTTTAATGTAACTTGTTTGTACTAGCTGACATTTTGCTTGCAAACGATGATGAGCTGAACTTAAATCTGCAAAAATTTGCTCGTCCTCTTTCCTTGGTTTTTTCTCATCAGGCTTTTTGGCACCTCTATAAATAAATAGTTTTTTGAAGAAAATAATCAATATTTTTGTATTTTAGTTTGCAACTTTTTCACCACAAAATGTAACCGGTCTAGATGCCGGTCTAGATGGGAAACAGGGGTCAAAATCGATTTCGGCCAATCAAATTCGTGAATTCGGTAGTTCCCAGTCCTTGTAAAATACAGCCATATAATAAAGTAGAAGATGGCCCGCTAAATTGACCCATCACTGCGCACGGAGTAACTGAGATATAAAAATTGCTCATATTCCATAAGATAAAGGCAAGATTGCCAAATCGCGCAAATCTTTGCACATGTAAAGGGGCGCGAATTCGGAGGAAGACGCTAAGTGAAAGAGTTGCTCTAAGCTTACGTGCTTTAGCATATTGTCGCATGACCTTTTATTGCAGGGAAGGTGACATGCGAAAATACTGGACCCGCTTTTGGCATAGACGTTATGGTAATTGCTACACTTTTAACAAAGGAATGGATTCAAGTGGAACTCATGTCAATGTCATGAACACTTCTCAGCCTGGTTTCGGTAACTTTTTTTTTCTTTTTTGGACGTTCTTGTCTTAAATTGAAAGAATTATTTCAGGGTGTTCTTTAAAGTTCAAACTATCGTTGATGGAATTTGTCTTGAGAGAGGACTTGAACATAAATTTTCAGGCAATCGTAACGAATTTTTCCAGTTTTTCGTGGACGACAATGCGAACTTCTAAATTTAAACTATATTTTTTTAATAATAGTCGCAGTGTAT